AGGTAAAGAAATTTTTAAAGTAAATCTAAACAGCTTTTGACAAAGGTATTAGTTATAATTTCTTATTGAATTAGTGCTAGTTAAACCACTGATTTTGCTACATATATATATTTTTTTTTTTTTTTTGAAAACAAACAACAGTAAAAAAAAAAGTAATGCAAAAAAAACGTCATAAGTTTTCAAAAAAAAAAAAAAAATATATATATGTAGCAAAATCAGTGGTTTAACTAGCACTAATTCAATAAGAAATTATAACTAATACCTTTGTCAAAAGCTGTTTAGATTTACTTTAAAAATTTCTTTACCTGAACATTCTGAAGATATAAACATATCAGTTGTCTATCAATGAGAAGTATTAAAAAAAAAGAGAGACGGTTAATAAAAAATATGATAGCTATTCTAAGATCAATATTAAAGAGAGAATTTGGGTGACCATGTATTTAAGTAACCTGAAAGACATCTTAAAACAATGTTCACACTCTTGTAACTTAATGCAATGTTGTTCAAAGTTAACTAATTCAAGTAATACTTTTGACCACTTAACAGTTGTAAAACATTCTTGAATCAAAACTGATTTTCAATTGTGTAATTTTGTTCTTGAATATCCAACACACATATAAAGATCAATAACCCAATTTCTATTGAAAAAACTAACACCAGTACAACTTAACGAGTTCAGTTAGAAAAAAAAATCAATTAGACTAAGTTGAAGGCTGTTGTATGCATAGATTATTCATCTTGAGCTAATACAAATAATAAGTTCTTTACTGTACTTACATTACAGCAAATTCTTGATTAACCCAGAACACAGTACTGTCTATGAAGTCCTTTGGAGATTTTGCCTCAGGTTCGCTAAGTAATACTTGCCGCTTTAACTTAGGAAATGCTACGAGAGACTAAAACAAAAACTTCAGAGTTATTACTAGATATCTTTATTGCTGTCAAGAATCTTACATATACATATACCATTGAAACAGTATAACTAAATAAATGCAATCAAAATGTTAAGCTTTCAACTCATGATGTGCAACATATTAGTTACAAAATTTTATTTTTAGTGTCTCAGGGCACGCTCTTTACTTAGAAAAATGAAAATCATGCTTTTTTTCATTAAATAAATTTCTTATTATTTCAGCTGCCTCAAAAATAAAACTTACTTTACAAAAAATTTAAAAAATTAGATTTTTATTTACAAAAACAGAATTTGAATTTTCAACCTGAATGACACTTTATGTGCACACACAGGCTAAATTGACAGTTCAGAGAATCCTATGAAGCACTTACAGTCATCAATAATTTTAATTACTGGTCAAAAAGGAAGGCAGCCAGCCATAACTATAATAGCTTTGTTGGGTCTTTGAACCAAAAAATGGGCCTAACTGTCACTTCAAAAATGTGCCCATAGCTGAAAATGCAGAGAATGCTTTATGGCATCTTATCCATAGTCTGTCAAGTTAACCACTAGGTTGGCCCACTTACAAAATTTTGTGTTATTTTCACTGCTTCGGAACATTCTTACCTAACAAAATTAGATCACACTTTACATGTTGTATATATTTTTATTTACACAAATTTCATGTTATTTTAGATGCTTCATTAATATACCTCCTATTTCGTGAAATGAAATCATACTTTGAGTATTATATACTTGCGTTATGTATGGAAAATGTGTTATTTTGGCTTTTTCAGAACATACTTTTCACCAAAAAATTAAAATCGTGTTTCAAGTGTCACAAAATTATTTTATTTTAAAAAATTTGAGTTCTTTAGCTGCCTCAAAACATACTTATTTCACAAAGTAAAATCTTGTATCATGTATTGTATATTTTTTATTTATGATAACTAGATTTATTTTCAGCTTTTCACAGATCAAAATAATTAATAGAATAAATCGAGATACTAGTACAACAAACTGTCAATGTTATATGAAGAAAATCTCTCTTTAGCTCTCATTGTAGTCTTGTCAACCAAAATGAAGCAGTTTAAATGTTAGGATTAAATCCGGATCATGAATAACATCATCCTAATCCCAGACAATTTGAATTTGTACTCATCTGTAAAAAGGACCCTTCTCCAGCTTTTCTCATCTCACTTTTGGAGTCTGATGCCCATTTCAGCAGTGTTTTTTGAGTAGGTACACCTTCACTGATGCAACTTCATACTAATGTGTGTGTCTTATTGTTCTGGAGGTAACATTCACACCTGTACTTAAAGCCAAGTACATTGGCAAGATCTCTACTGGATTGTTGTGTATCATGAAAAGGAAATAGCCTGAGTTACTTAAAATTACTTTGAAGAGTTTGGGATTCTGATATCAACAGTACTAGTCTCACCAATATTCTTCAGAACTTCCATACAGCTCCTACTGAAACATAAAATTTTATCTAAATTTTTTGCATGGAGTGGTTGGTGCCACAAGCAAAATCTTATGTTTCTAGATGTTTGTCTTATGACATTTTTGTCCACGAGTACATTCACCACACTGCTGTTGGGAATATTATGATTACTTGTACTTTTATAGGCATTAAGCCGGTGTGGTAGTCACAATGTAAACTATCAACATACAACTGTACTCTAGAGCAGTCATCTTCCTTCAATACAGGGGAGCAATCCTACAATATTTGCATTTATACCTATGTATTCACTGTTTCCATAATTATTGCCAATACCATATATATTAATTTGATATGTAAAATTAAAATCTAAATAATGACCCTCTTTCTATATACAAAAACATCGGCCCCCTTTTATTGAGTGAAAAATGAGTGTCTGAACATACACACAAAAAGTTATAAAATCATAGCCTCCACCAAACCTTATTTGAAAGCATATATAAACAGGTTCAATCTGTCAGAATATGATAAACTATAACCAGGAGTAGGGCAAAGTAGAAAGTTAGATTTAAACAGTCGTTAAAATTTTACTTTGCTGTGCAGAACTTAAAGAGATTACTGAAGCTCAATCAACAGTCAAGAGAAATTCCTTTTAAAGCATTTCAAATGCTGGGTTAGCCTGAAAAAACGTCACAAAACATTCTGCCCAAAATGTTTCAGATGAACTTCTGGTTGCCATGTGTCTATTATAGCTGATGAGTTCTGGTATTGAAGTAAATGACTTTCTAGACAATGATTACAAGCAGACAGTAAACCTTAAATACTTTGTTCTTATATCCCTGACCTGAAATTATTATTAGTCTAAGAAGAATGTGATAAAAAACTTATTCAGTTAAATTTTGATCTTATTTATCAAACATAATTTAATTTTCCTTTCCAATTTGTGTTGATTTCAGATAAAAAATGCTCAGGATGCCAATAACTTGAACTTATCTTATTTTGCCCTCATGGATCTAATTTACTACAAGTTACAACCATTACCATAGAAAAAGTCAGAACTTCATATCTTGTATATAATACACAATTCCTATCTAATACAAGTTTCATGTTGTTTTTTTTAAACTAATATGTTCTACCAAGCAATGAACATTCAAACCTCACCCAAAGTGTCCTCCTCAGCTCAGCCTCTGGAAGTTCAGTAGCTAGTCGTAAATTTTCAAAAGAGATTCTGTCATGCTGTCTTTGATTCCAGGCAAACAAAACTGCCATTTGGAAGGTTGTCACATCTAAATCAAACTTTCCTACTTGGTTACTAAATGTGATCTAATAGAAAAAAAAAAAATCCAAATGTCAAGATCTTACATCTAACAGAAACAGGGAAATTAAAGAAGCTTATTGGATAGCATGTTAAATACTGTGACATCAAATGATATCAATCTGAATCCCAGGGTTGTTGACCTTTGCAAGTCTCCGAAAAGATTTTCAAAACTAAATTCATGATTAAACTTACTTTACATTATTAGTATTATTCTTCCTTAAATTTCTATATATATATATATTGGTTTGATTTCCTATATATTGAGCTACGTTATTATTTTCTCTATTTCCCACCACCTTTTGCTGTTATTTAATTTTATTTCTATTGTTTATTTTATTTTTTATTTTATCTTTATAGAAATTTGTTAACAATTCTTATAACTATTATTTCACATAAGTCTTTGACACAAAACTAAACCTGACACAAACAACTCAAGGTTATGATTGGCTAGTTCTCAAGGCCAACTCCTATTGAACATCCGGTTTACGTGACATCGACATCCAAGCCTATATATTTCATCACACTCATTAAACATAACCCTTTTTTCTCCTGAAGAAGAATAGTCAACTATTTGAAAGCACTCAAGTTTTGGGTCTCATTTTGAAAATATTAACCATTAACCATATACTTACTGTTCCATTAGACATATGATGGTACCATTGAAGTTTTCTACCACTGTGTTTTCTACGATAAAAATCTTCCACTTCAGGGATGAAATCTTCTAATTCTAGAGGTAAAGAAACTTGGACTCTCTCACTCCCCCTGGCCCATGCCCCGGCATTCAGGATTTTAATGTTTATAGAATCTAAGAAAAACAGACCACATGAGATTTATAAGCAAAGTATATTTTGTAAAGAAAAATCTATTAAATATGAAAGCATTAGAATATTGTAACTATACATACAGGTTTACACAATCATTACAATTGTCCTTTAGCACAGATGTTCCCAAAAAACTTTGCAATTGACCAAAATCTTTACAGGCAGATTGCAAAACTTTTTAATATTTAAAAAAAAAGTTTTGTTGTTTGTGCAAAAAAACTTGTGTCCAATGTATAAACCACAAAACTCCTTTGAAAGTGATTCTGAATCCTTAAAGATCAACAAAGATTCATAAGCGATTTTGAAAATAACTAAAGATATGTGACTTTTACCTACAAATGAGGTCCTGACCCACATTTAGTTTGGGTTTAGGCCTAAATTAGGCTTTACTTAAAACTAGTAAATCACCAAACATAGCAAAACAAAAGTAGTTCAACCTCATGAAAATGTTGGAGATCCGTATTTTAATAAGATAACAGACTGTATTCAATCCCTAGATATTCTTTTCAGATTCATCATGTGGGTGACATGTTACAGTCTTTTGTTTCTTTGTAACAAGCTTTAAAAAAACATACTGTAGCCTTTTTTCAGGCTTAAATAACTGACTGTATTGATCTTGGACACGAGGATAACAACTCGCATGTTCCTTAACTACGCATTTGAAATCAAGAGTTAGCCCCTTACCCCTGAAGCAAGCTGTAGTGTAATAGGCAAGAGTATATTATGAAGAAAAATAAATTTGCTAATGTACAGAAACCTGTACTTATATATTTTGTTGTGTTCAATCCCTATTGATGTGACATATAACATTCTACTCATATCAAGTCACACAAATGTTTTAAAAATCTGACATAAGAATTTTCAGACACTAAGCTATATCAATGTATACATCACTTTGATTCAAAATGAAATATGAATGAGTAAGAGGTTTTTCTTACCTGCAAGACTTCCTTTACTATTTCGATGTGTGTCTTTAAACTGCTGATTTAAATCCTCACTAACTTTTACATCTTGAAACATTCTGGCAAGCTTGTTGACATAGTCAGCAGGCATTCCAACATCCTACATTCCAAAAGAAGAACATTTGTGTCATAAGGGAAGACTTCAACTTGCAGAAATGATTTTTTTTAATTAAAAAAAACAACTAAAACCAAACTGTTCTTCATGGTTTCTCATAGTATACTGTGCAGTTTGTAGGCCTAAAAATATAAAAATTATGCGGTTTCATTATTCTAAATGAAGTCTGGCAACTTGAATTTTGAGAGTTTTTTTTCCAAAAAATCACTTATAATATGATACTATTTACCTATATACATTTTAAAATTTACACTTGGATCTTCCAGCACTTTTTCAATCCCAAACATTAGTTTGTTGGCCTTAAAAACTTTTTATTTTCTGTTTAACTTTATCAGTTGTTTATTCCAATTTTTTATACTTTTCTTCTGTATGCTTAAAACAGAATCTACTGCACATGAACCTATAATGTATTTCAAAGGCAAATGAGTAAGAGATTTGGAATTCATGACTTGTAATATGTTATTACAGTGCTTGGTGTCTGCCATGAAAATGTAGATGGAAAATTTATAAATTGCTTTTTTGTTAAGATACTTAGATAGTAAAGCAGAAAGGGCATTTACTTCAACAGTTTGCTTTTACGCTTTTGACATATATCTGGTGTATGTTTATGAACACAAACAATTGCTGACCTGGCATAAGATGCCAAAATGTATGAATTAATAAGCTTCAATTGCTCATTTCATTCTGTTTAATCTAGTTTAAAATCTACGTATCTTGGTAGCAGTGGACAAGAAAAGCATAATAAAATATTATTGAGAATATATTATGCAGAACAAGATGATCTTCAGCACGTTCACAATAAGTTGATTCAAGGTGAAAAAGGAAACCTGAAAACACTTTTAGATAGATGTTCAAACAATCAGTGCTATTATAATGTGAACAGACAATAGTTCCAACCGCTGAAGTTAAATTATGAAAAATGAATATGCAATATCATGATTAAAAATCAAATACTAACAATTTTTCTCAATGTGTCTATAAGCAGGGGATTCTTACAAGAAATGCTTTAAGAGCATTAAGAATAAATATGAAACTTAGTTTTTCAAAAAATGGAAAGTGATTCTCAACTAACAATGCCAGCTGTGCTAAAGTTCATCTTATAGATTTTTCACCTTTTAGTAAGCACTATTTATATCACTATTACAAAACACCTACAATGTTTACTTGTTGATATTATTGTGATTTTATTGTTACAAGTGATTTGCTATGTTCAATTACAGATAAAGGTTAAACGAATGTGTTAAACTATTTAATGATTAAGTGCAACAAGAGGACTTGCTAAACTCCATGCTTACAATGAAAAAATCTTGAAATTTTCACTCAGTTAAAGACATGTAGATCTCATTAATATGACTTATTAGTACCCTTTAATAATTAAAAGTTAGAATAATAAACATTTTTTGTCTGCTACAGATTTTATTTTATGCACATTTTACCATAAGATCTCAAACAGGAAAACAATGGGTCATGAAAATTTTCACCTAAATATACTTGATTTATAAAAGACAACACTCAATTTTTTTTTCTTACAGTGTATTTGAAGCCATGAAAACTATAGAATTAGAACAGCCAAAATTTTAAATACCATGAAGAACATGCATTATATATATACATTGAAAAAAGTAGATTCTAAGATTTTTTTTGTTTATTTGAAAATTATTTAAAAGATTTCTCCTTTTTACTTATAGCTTAACAGCCAGTTATTAATTTATAAATATACTTATGGGCAATAATAAGAACAAAACATGTTCACATTGTACACACTGAAATTAAGAGTATTTGATGTTGTGTTTTTTTTTTTTGCATTGGTTTCTTAATGCATTTAAAAAATTGTAAAACATTTTCTGATAGGAAAGTATAAAATCAATTTTATAACAAATATTTCAATAACATAAATGTAATTTCTTGAGTGCAAAAAAAACAAACAAATGGGAATTAATTACATTTAAAACTTTTGATTTTGTTTACCACAGGTTAAAATGATTAAATTATAAGCTGCTATAAAATATTTTAAGCAAAACACAAAAACTAAACATAAAATACAAAGTAATTATTAAACAAAATCAATGATTCTATTTTTATAATTTTTGTTTTTTCCTAATTTGAAATCTACAAAATGGAACATGATTTTTTTATAGTATGGCTCTTCTTTAAAGTCAATATAACATCTATAAAATGGTTTCATTAGAATTTATCAAAGAACATGGATCATTAAGTTATCAAATTAGAGTTCAGTGATGTTTTTGCTTTATTACAAAGATAAATATGACTCACTCTCAACCACTCCACCATGTTCTCTTCCTTTTCATTATCGGCTGACGAGTCTAAAACTAGTCGACGAGTCAGGTGAGCTTTATGGTACCTCATGAACACATCCTTGTTTTGGACATACTTTAGAACCAAGAGCTTTGACACAGCAAAAAAAATAAACAAAAAATCATTATGTTAGTAAAATGTTTATAAAAAATTATTTTTATACAAACATCTCAGTATTAACTAAAGATCTTTTCACTTTTGATTAGCTATTATTTAAAGTAAATTTCTGTTAACTGTTTTATCTTAAAATTAATACTGTCTGATATTAATACTGATTGTATAATGATTTTTCCCTCAGTTTTTTATACATAATTTCTATTTTATTTTAACTCAATTACTATGTCATAAGTAAAATTAAGAGGAAAAAAAAACATTTATACTGTTCACATATTGAACAAGGGATCACTGATAGATAGTGCTAATTTTATTGGCAAATATTGGCTGCATTTCAGATAATAAAAACCCTTAGTTTTTCCTATCTATAATAATAAAAGAGCCTGTCTGTGTGTGTGACCACCATAGATCCAAGAGGAAAGAACCTAGTGACCTGAAACTTTGCATGCATACTGAGGTGATTCTGAGGATGTACACACCTGGGTATTATTTATTATATGTTTTTGCTCTATAGCCCTTAAGCCCCATAATTCTGCTTCCTGAAAGTCTAGAGAAAAGTATCATATTTTTTTCTAATTCTCACTTACTGAATGAACAATATGTGGAGGTTTTCTGCCAAATACTCTTTCTCAACACAAACATGGGAAGAGAAATACAGATCTGGGAATTAAGAAAGTTGAATTGAACTGAGTTTTGGAAACCGCAACAAACAACGGGAAGAGAAATATATGAATCAGAGAATATTGGAAAATTTGGAGAATGAAAAGAATTCAAATATAAACACAGGATGAAAAAAAGTGAAATTGAGAAGATAAATTTGCTTTTAAAAAGAGTTGAACTAAGTTTGGGAAATTGCAACAGACAAATCAATTAAATAATTGGTGCATTGGGGTATCTATAGAAGTAATTAAGATAATGGAGATGCTTGACTGGTATGCTGAGGCCTCTGTGAATCGTGAGGGGACTTTAGAATCCTGCAGCAGAGAGTGGGTATTTTATGCTAGTATTGAAATTAATTAAAAACAATTAATAATAGTTAAACTACCAAAAGCCATTTTTTTTAAATAAAGTAGTTAAATATCCTATTTTTTATATATATAAAAAGTAATTAATTTTATATATCTCTATTAGGAATGAATTTTGCAACAAACTGCAAATCAAGACAGCACTTCTGGTCTTGGGACATTATAGAATTCTACATTATATGCAGTACATGGTAAACAAAATGTCTTGTATCAGGAAGCACTGCAGAAATATAATAAAAAAGAATGATCTATATAAAAAAAAAGTTTTAAAAACTTCCAAAATTTCAAAATGAGTGAGAGTGGCAACAGTGATGTTATTCTCCATATACTGACCCAGTTACCAGGCCTATTAATGCCATGCTGGCTTGCATGTCAGATTCAACAGATCTATAAGCTTCAATCAATATACATAAGCCAGTGTACAATGTTTAGTAATTTATTTTTTTGACGATACATGTACATACGTATATATATATCCTCACCTCCTGTTTGAACCTAAGACCTGTCACATACCAGATAAGTGCTCTACCAACTCAGCTAAAGGGGTAACCTCTAGTACTTGCTAGCAAGTCACTTTTTAACAACTCAAACAACTGCAAGAGTGTAAGCTTTAGATAATAATTTTTTTACACGAAAAGTCAATCATAAAAAAAAACACAAAAAAAGACTCTCAGTGATGATGATACTGAAGTATAATTTGTGTTTTCCATTGTCTACTTTTATATCTACCAAATTTCTCAATTATCAGAAAAACAATGTAAAATTCCTAACTTAGAATGATTCAGACTCCATTTCAAAACCAGCTGATAAAGCCCTGCATAGTGGTGTGGTTGATGTTACATTTACCTACTTCTTACAAGTTTCTCTTTTAAGGTTTTGCACACCCTTAGTGCTTACTATGTGGTTTGCATAGACTAATGGAAAAAAATTCCAGGGCCTTTTCCAAGACGAAGCTGCCATTTCAAGAACCTAATTTTCTGATTTTAACAGAATACAAAATTAAATAACTGATGTTTTATTACATTTTACAAAAAATGAAGTAACAGTTGAATAAAATGTTCTACCAATAACAGTAACACCTGAGCTATTAAAAAAAAAAGACTATGCAAGAAGTCATCAAAAGAACTTCTAAATGAAAGATTACACATTATTGAGTAAAGCACTAATAATACTTGTAAATGTACATTTGTTTGTATCAGATAAAACCATTACCTCCTCAAGCCTCTCCAAGGGGTAGTAACCATACAATATATAAATCATTTAGTAAACTAACATGACATATTTTGGACATATACTAACAGAACATATACTGATATCAAAGGAGACTATACTAAATACTTCATCTCTTCGAGATATACATATGATAAATGTCATAGATACTAGTATCTATTTATCACTAATTCTCATTTCAGGTGTTTCAGCATCAATTTTAACAAATTTATTCTGATCAAAACTTCTATTAC